CTTTGAATGGTCTGGAGCCGGCAGCCTGGACCAGTGAGGGACTGAGCTCTTCAACACCTGCAGATTACACACCATCCTGCATGCTGCACAGAGATTGAGGTTTCAAATAGTTGTTGGAGATTTGTGAATCTGCACCATCGTAAGTCACTTTTTGTAAATGAGAGAGTTTTATATTGACTTTTAAAAAGGGGCGGCACCGTTGTGGTAGCCATGTTGACCCTGACAGTTTTTTGTTTTGTTTTTCCTCCCCTGTACGGAGAGAAGAGAGGAGAGTTCTTTGAATAAATGGAGACGAGTTCCCGTGCTCCAAAGTTATTTGACTCTGTGGTTCTCTCACTGGGCAGGTTTCCAGCCCTCATAGCTCGCACRTTACAGTGAGTACTAACTTAAGGAGTTAAAAAATTGATCMTTTTTGTTCAAGCATCAATTTTCTGTTTCTCTTTCAGGAGTTAAGTAAGGATTTTATCTTTTCTTTTTTTGTAGGTAAATATATGGTTAAGTAGATAGTTTTGTTTGACAATACTTTAAATTAAATAAAACTAGCAACACATTACGTTCTGTTTTATTTACTTTAAAGAGTAGGGAGATGAAAAATTGTTTTTTTTTTTTTGATACGGAGACTGGACAAGTAGATCTCGGCAAACTGCTGACCTCAAAAGTAGCTCTTGGTTCAAAAAAGGTTGGGCATTCCTGCTGTAAAATAACTAACAATATTATCAGACCCAAACATGAGCTGTGATCTCAGTGAGATTTAACTGCTTAACGAAAGCTACTACTACTGTAGAAGGTGACCTATGACCAAATATGTTTGAAGGTTTTCTGTTGCTACTATTCTTATAAGGGCACAAATACTTCATTGGTTTTATGGCACCTGGTATTCCCAGATGGTCTCCCATCCAGGTACTAACTAGGCCCAACCCTGCTTAGCTTTAGATATCAGATGAGAGCTGGCGTGTTCAGGGTGGTGTAGCCAAATAAAGTCTAATGTTACAACTAATCGGGTATTCCTTTAAACTACAAGTGTTACGAGACACTTACCTCTCAGGACGAGACGAGAGCTGGAGTGCATGAGAGTGATATGAGATGAGATTTAACAATAACAGAAAAGGTTTTGACCTCTCTCCTGTCTGAACAGTGCTTCAACTGGTCATGACTTTATAATTCTCTTTAATGTTGTTTAAACTTAATGTATAAAACTTATTTTCACAAAAAGCCAACAATTAAACCTCAATCAGATCTTTGTATTTTCAACATTTTTTTAATAATGTTTTTCAGATCTTTTCTGACACGCTTGTACAGAAATATAAAAAACCTTTTTCAGTTTACATTTGTATCAGTCAGAACACAGKAAAAACATTTCACCAGCTGCCAAACTAATTCAAACAGCTACAAATATTTGACAAGAGCAACACTGGTTTACATAAACTGAAGCAGATTCTTCATGTTCTCAGAGTCAGAGTTGTGGAAACTGTCCGGACTGACTGAAGAGGACATTAGAGTCAAACTCCTCTGTGTTTTCTTATTATTATTTTCATGACAGAGAAAAGTCACTCCCTCTGATGAAAACAGCTCACCTTCAAAGTGTGATCATCTCCTCCTCAACCAAACAAATAATCGGGAGGTTCAACATCATTTTCTCAGCTTCTACATCTTTTTATAAATGTGCGACAGAGTCTTCCTCTCAGCACGTAGAGTGTGCAGGGGGAAGCTGCTCAGCACAACTTAAGTTACGCGACTGCATGGTCCTATAGTGCCGGACATGTTTGAGAAATGCTGGAGACACTTTTAGTGAACATTTCTTCAGACAAATTCAAGAGACAGGTTGTTTAGAAGATTTATAAGGAAGACTGTGAATCTTGAATTTTTTTTATCAGGTTGTTGTCATACAGTATGTGTCAGAAGGGAAGTTTGGTAAGTGTGAAATCTGTTTCACTTGAACTGTATTTTTTCAGGAATATGAACGTTTGGCAGCTAATCTGGATGGGGCGAGGACACCTTTGGCAAAGAAGGTGCAGAGCTTTGCTTCAACCGACTCTCTGATCCCTTTGGTGGAGGACGCAGAGAGACACGCCAACATGCTGAGCAGATTTACCATGAACTTGTCCAGGTAGGAGTCTAAACTGTGAGAAGTGTGAAGAGGACAAACAGTTTAATGCAGACAAGCTTCAGGAGGCTAACCTTTCATGTGCTGGGAACACAGTTTGATTTTAGAAACCAGGAAGGAGGGAACTGTGAATGTGACAAAAGCTTACAGCAACATCATCGACATCATCAACGCAGCCGAAGAGGCAGCTAACATGGCCGACAGAGCAGCTAACGACACGCTGGAGGTACAGAAACACATTCTACTGTCTGTATGAACGAGCACACACACCTGCTGACATGCCTGGTACTTACATGATATGTACTCAGTACTTACATTGTATCGACTAGTATATTTTGTGTACATAACTGGTACTTACTAGGGTACTTACTGGGTATGTACCCTGTATTTTCTGGATACTTAGTTGGTACTTATCTGATACTTAGTGTGTTTACCTAGTACATACTGGGTACTTACCAGTAAAGTACTCAGTAATATCCTCTATTTACCGGGTAATTACTAGATACAAACAAAGGAGATGATTGTAGATTTCAGGAGAAATAGTGTTAGATCAAACCCTGTTTCCATCATGGGAGAAGAAGTGGAGGTGGTTGTGGAATATAAATACCTCGGTGTTCATCTGGACAACAGACTGGACTGGAGACTCAACAGTGAAGCAGTCTACAAGAAAGGACAGAGCAGACTGTACTTCTTAAGGAAGCTGAGATCCTTCAATGTCTGCATCAAGATGCTGCAGATCTTCTACAAGTCTGTTGTTGAGAGCGTCATCTCTTCTGCCATCATCTGTTGGGGCAGCAGCATCAGAGCCAGGGACCTAAAAAGGCTAAACAACCTGATAAAGAAGGCTGGTTCTGTTCTGGGGACGACTGTGGAACCTCTGGAGATGATGGTGCAAAGAAGGATTTTACATAAAATCAAGAACATTGTGGACAACCCTGACCATCCTCTTCATCAGACTGTCATAGAAAGACAAAGTGTCTTCAGTCGGAGGCTTCTTCAACTTCGCTGTAATACAGACCGCTACAGAAGATCTCTCCTGCCCACAGCCATCAGCATCTACAATAATTCTTTAGTTAAATGAGTTACAACAACACCTAATTTCCCTCTGGGATCAATAAAGTATTTTTGAATTGAATTGAAATGAATACTAACCTGGTACATACAGCATACCTGGTACTTACACGGTACTTACCTGTTACATACCTGGTGCATACTTCGTACTTACAGGGTAATTACCTGTTACGCACTGGTACATACAGTTTATCTGGTACTTACTTGGWAMTTACAGAGTACTTACCTGTTACATATCTGGTACATACAGCTTACCTGGTAATACTTGGAATCCTTGACATTTAATGTTTTATTTTGGTAGTAGCATTGTCAATAAAAGTATTAATCATTCACATTTTGTTCTACATAAAATGATKTATTTGTTGATGACTGATTCATTTATTGTAGAACATAAAGAATCATGATCTTGGTCAGATGGCAGATAAACTGAAGAACCGCAGCATGGAGCTGAACGATGAAGCCAAACAGCTGAGTGATAACCTGAACAGCAGTGAGCATGACTCTCAACATCAGAATTTTAATTAAAAAAATCTCACAAATCCAGGTAGAATGTTTGAAAGTTTTACTGTTGTGCTGATTTTCTCCTGCACAGCCCTGAAGCCTCGGCTGGAAGATGCTCAGAGACGATTAGATGAAGCCAAAACCAAACATGTTCAAACTGTGAAGGATCTGGAGGCAGCTCAGAACATGCTCAACCTGACCTCAAGTATGAATATCCAACAAACAAACAAACAAACAAACTGCGTAATGGGAATTGCCCAGACTCTCAAGCTGAATCAGCAACTACAGCGCAGTGAAAAAGTTTTCATCCCCTGACAGATTTTCCCCTGTTTTGCTGTTTTTATGTTGTACTTATATATTTCAGATCATCAAACCAGTATTTTAAAATGCCAGGTGTGATCAGAACATGGTGAACATCATCTGAGAACTTGTTTCACCATCCTGTAATCTGCAGACAAACTGATTTTTACAACTTTATCCGGACACCAATAACAGCTGCGAGTGTTTTCTGTTTCAACCTGTCAGAACACTGCAGTTCTGCCCTCCGTGATTCTAAAAATGTACTGAAGCTGAATAAACTCAAAGTTCCACATAATCATTTCTGATTCTGGATGAATTGACCTTTCACTGGGCTGCAGTTGTTGGAGTTGGCAACTCTAACTTAACTCAAAATTGCAAGAAAACTGTTATTTATCACTTTGAGACAGGCAAATGTGGGCTCTGGGAAAACATTAGATTCTTTGGTTGAGTTTAGGTCTTTTCCTCATATTTAATGTCTTGCTGTCATATGCCCCTTTTCCACTAGTGCCACTTAGTGTAGTGTCGGTACGGTTCAGTACGGTTCCAAGCCATTTCCATTAGGCCAGATCCATGGAACCGGCACTTTTCTTAGTACCTACTTCATTGTGGTTCCAACCAGCTGACACCAAAATGCGACGTCAGAACACTGTTCGTCACTGATTGGCTAAATTTTTGCAAATGTTTAAAATTGCAAAAGTTATTCATCAAATGTGTTTCTATCTCTCATTTTGCCCATTAATTTTTATTCAAAATACCTAAAAACCACCTCCACCAACCGCCCAAAACACACCCATTGGAACCGGACTGGAACATCAGTGGAAAACCAACTGGTCCGACCCGTACCTACACCGACCGTTCCGACACTACACTAAGTGGCACTAGTGGAAAAGGGACATTACTGACCAGAACTAAGGACCCCCACGTAGCACCTGCAGTAAATGTTTCTGTGGAGAATCTAAAGGGATTGTATTTCTAGGACAGTATGTTTTTGTTTTATTAATAATTGTACAGATTACATTGAGTTTATAAAATGAAGCTGAAGACTTGCTCTCCAGCTTAGCTCATTTTTTTAAAGATGATCGCTTGTTCTCTCTGAACAGATGTGACTCAGGATATTAATGAAGTGAAGCAGGTCACAGGTGCAGCAAACAGCACAGTCACTGAGGTCATTGACCAACTGCGTCCCATCAGAAAGCAGCTGGATGACTGGCAGAAGCTCTATGGAGACACCAACACCACCAACGATGACATCAGCAATGCTCTGATGGATGCCAACAACACTGGTAGGAGCTCATTGCAATCCTCAGGAAACCCTGAACCATCTTTGTCTCATCACTGGAAAAAACCTCAAACCAGCTTCTTTATGTTATTTGTTGAATGTTAACCATTACAACCATACAAACATATAAAACTAAGGTTCCCACACTACGATTTATGAAAAATCAGCCTGAAAGCAGATGTTTTTTACAGGTATCTTCATGGTATTTGTCAGGTTTTTATGGACATGTACAACCCCTGGCAAAAATGATGGAATCACTGGCCTCTGAGGATGTTCATTCAGTTGTTTAATTTTGTAGAACAAAAGCAGATCACAGACATGACACAAAGCTAACTAAAAAAAAACAAGAAATAAATGTAATAGCCAGTAACAGTTACTTTTTAGAGCAAGCAAAGGGAAAAATTATGGAATCACTCAATTCTGAGAAAAAAAATGGAATCACCCTGTAAATTTTCATTCCCAAAGCTAACACCTCCATCAGTTTAAATCTGCTCATTAGTCTGCATCTAAAAAGGAGTGATCACAACTTCGAGATCTGTTGCACCAAGTGGACTGACATGAATCATGGCTCCAACACTAAGATGTCAACTGAAACAAAGGAAAGGATTATCAAACTCTTTAAGAGGGTAAATCATCACGCAATGTTGCAAAAGAAGTTGGTTGTTCACAGTCAGCTGTGCTAAAATCTGGACCAAATACAAACAACATGGGAAGGTTGAGTCGTGGGTATGGTGTAGTTGTTACTCACAGTGAGTCTCTCTGGGACATGGAATACGTATATCAGGAAAGATGGTGAGATGGAAGGTCAAGGGTCCAGAACAAAACAATTATAACCAACAACAGACATAAAAAAATCAGTTCCAAGAACTTAAATGTGACAAAAATTTACAGGATAGAAACTGGTTACCATTATGTTGAACTACCACAAACGCATTTTAATTCTCTGTCTCTGTAGTGACCAAGCTAAGTGAAACCATTCCTACACTAATGAAGAAACTGGACGAGTTGCAGAACCACTCCATCCAAATGCCCAACATTTCAGAAAACATCAACCGGATCCGACAACTCATCCAGCAGGCGCGCAACGCCGCCAGCAAGGTGTCCATCATCTCGAAGGACGACACGTTCGAGCCGAAAGCTCATTTTACTTCTCACTTTAACGCCTCGTGTTGTCCATTCAGGTGAGGGTGTCAATGAAATTCAATGGAGTCTCTGGAGTTCAGGTCCGTACTCCCTCCAACCTGGCTGACCTAGCTGCCTACAACTCCATGAGGTTCTACATCACGCTGACGGATGCAGCGCGGCAAAGACGGCAAAACGTCCCAGACCCTAGCCTCCCCAAACAGTTTGTCTTCTACCTTGGCAACAAAGATGTAATTAAAACAATAGAGGCCCCCTTTGTGCTTTTTTACACTACACGTTTCTCATTTCCAGATTTATTTTTGTGTTGTTTGTGTGATTTGTAGTCCAATAAAGAGTTCCTGGGCATGGCACGAGAGGGACAAAGACTGGTCTGGCATTATAATGTTGGAGGACAAACGGCCCAGGTGATGATGAATAAAGATGTCATGACTGATGGGAACTTCAATGAGGTCTTCCTTCAAAGGTAAAGAAAACAAGCCAAGAAACAGAGAAGCAAAAACRGGAGAAATATGTTCTTTTCTTCTAACACTCATCAGAACTCTGGCAGCAGCATTTTAGATCAACTGAAAGCTGATAATAAAGAGTTACAATCAACTAACAGAATGAAGTGTAAAACCTAAAGCTCCTCTCCATGTGCTTCATCTTCCTCTATTGTCTGTCTGAACATAGGATCCGCCAGTACGGTCAGATGTCCATGTCTTCAGTAGTCAGTGACCTGACTGAAACCACTCTGGCCAATGTGGAGGCCCAGGGTGATCAGGGCCTGCTCAATCTCCAAAGCAGTGACACCGTCTTCTACGTGGGAGGATACCCGAAAACTTTCATCGTAAGTAAAGAAAGGGCAGAGGTCTTCCTTACCTGATGTAGACGTTGCACAGTAGYTACACTCACCCAACTTTTTTTTGTAGTGGCTTAAACTTTATAATAGTGGCTTAGCAAGTTACAGCAATACAAYATGCCTTATAAATCATCAATATACAAAAGAATAATCACAATAATTCTTAAAATCAATTTCGTCTTTCCCATGGCAATTGCTGTAAAATGATAAAAATCAACAAATTTGCATGAACTTGAGCAAAGGAAAGTAAGACCATACCTGCGTGACTTCACTTGTTCAGAAGTTAAAATGTGCTGAGAAWATGCCTTGAAGAGATCATTCAGCAAAAATGATGGAGTGGTCTTCCTCTTGTTTCTCTRCAGCTAAAATTACTAATCTACTTGCTTCCCAATATAAACACTCTCACTWTCCTTTTTGCTCTTAGTTCTGTGTAACTAAGCCTATACCCCGATAATCCTGCAAGATGCTCAATCCCCAAGCAGGAACATCAGGTTCAGACTCTGCACACTAAATGCTGGAGCAAGAAAGGAAGGCCACGTCTCCTGATTACAACAGTATTTTTTTCTCTACAGCCTTTTGGGAGGGTCCCAGCAAGCTGCACCTCACAAGCCACATGAGCAACAAAGTTCCTCACACACTGTCATTGTTTCATCCTTTTCTTTGCCAAACTTCACCTCATACATTCAACACACATGTTAAAAACATTTGATCAGTTTTTACCCCTAAATATATCATTTTCTGTTATCAACAGACTTAAATCAAATCATTCATCCTTTAATTTGTTCTGTCTTTCTTTCTCATTCCTTAATTTCATTGGTTTACATGTTTTTACATGTTTTTATACATTAAGAAGAATTGTTGTAAGAGTCAACAGTTAAATCATCCTCATCAGGTTATTTACTGATTACATTTTTGATTAAAATCATTCCATTACTTTTACTCAACATATTTCCTTGTTTGATTCCTTTAAACAATTAAACACATTTTTTGTACTGATTTATTATCAACAACCTTTCTTTTTAAAAAAATCAACATTTAAATCACAATCACTGGTGACATGTCGACTGTATATTTACATTTTTAATCACTTTTATTTTACCTTTTCTTAAACATGTTTCTTTTTGTGCTTTGTTCAACTTCTGCTTTGGAAAGCCCCACTTACGCTGGGCTGTTGGAAAAGTCCAGTGCTTACCCAAGACTTCTGTTTTCTTAATTCAAGCTACTGCGCCCAGTCTTACTTTTAATAAACTTACATTTTAACAACCAATGACCCTTTCAGGCTGATACGGAGAGTTTCTAACTACTTTTTACCATATTACTTTACACCCACTTCTTGGAAACACTTCTGTCTTCGGTCCTTGTAGTCATTCCAACGTCGATGGCGATAAAAGATTGTCCCATGTAGACATGTTGCACTGTAGCTGCACTTACCTGATGTAGACATGTGACACTGTAGCTACACTTACCTGATGTAGACATGTGAAACTGTAGCTACACTTACCTGACGTACACTTAGCGTGGTGTAGTGGTAGAGCAGCCGGCTTTGGGACCCGCAAGTCACAGGTTTGACACCCCGCCATGCCCACATGCCGTTGTGTCTTTGGGCGAGACACTTCACCCGCCTTGCCTGCTGATGGTCGTCAGAGGTTCTGGTGGAACCTGTGTATGGCAGCCTCGCTTCTGTCAGTGTGCCCCAGGGCAGCTGTGGTTACAATTGTAGTTTGCCATTGTGGTGGAACTAATAGGCTGAGATGAGAGCACAGAGACAGGACAGTTGTTGTCTGTGTTCCTGTTGTTGCAATAAAACCCAGCTGATCATCTCACGGAGTACCTTCATTCTTGGACCACGTATTTCTGTCTTTGTTAAATAAATCCAGCATAACAGTTTGGCGTTGTCAGGCAGAGACCACTAGAAGATCGACGGACCAAGGCCACATTACAGGTGGACTGATATGAGTGAGCAAGGACTGCTCAGGACCGTGACTCCAGCTGGATGAAAATAACCTTTTTATGGTAAATTGTTTTAACAACAGAGATACGCTGGTGACGATTGTGATAGATGATCTTGAATAAGCAAAAAACATTGAATTTTTATTTTTGGCTGTTGAAGAACCTGAGAAGATTTTTGAAACATCATCTGCTGAGAGGGAGTGCAGAACAGCTTCATGATGCCTCCTTACTTTTCCAAAGAGGATTTCTGCCAGCTTCTCCAAAAGGTGATGGTGTTGGAGCTCAAGATTCGTTTGGAAGAGATGAATGCTTTGGAGAACTCAACATGTGTTCAAATGGGTGAGAAG